AGAAAATCATAGAGAATTGTGTTTAAAAACAGTAAAATCGACCTTGCTAACCGAATGATCCTCTGTGGCCCAATCGGTTAAGGCACGTCAGGCTATATGACGATTCCGTATATTCAGGCTGGTAAATGTTGTTAATACTCTTTATTATAAACAGAGCATTTACTTAAATATTTGTATCTATAAAAAGAACTTAACATTAAAAATGTCTTAAAAAATAATTGTCGGACTTTGTCTATTTCATAATGTGTGACGTCATATATATATAGTCAGCTTTCCCATTTTTACTGGTTCTGCACAAATATTTAATTCAGTTTTTGTTACATACAAAACAAGCATATATACGCACACACGCCCACACACCTACCTACCTACCTACCTACCTATACATACATATATATATATATATATATATATATATATATATATATATATATATATATATATATATATTGCCAAATGTATGTAGCATTTATAAAAGCTTTCTAGTTCTCTTAAAGAAGATCTATTAGTAGTGAATTTCGAAGAAATCTTGCATTTTTTCGATCCATTATTCTTGAAAATCGTAAAATTACAGCTGAATAAGGACTTACTTCTTCAATTTTCCCCGTCGGCGTATCACCCAATTTTCGAGGCAAACTTTTTACTCTTCCTACCAAATATATGGTGATTTTTTTCTCTTTTTGCATTGATCTTTTATGTCAAAATGGGACAACGACATTCACAAGAAAGAATGCTCAAAGTTACCTACTAAAATGGAATTTGGAATATGCCTTATAGCTGAGATAATTGCGTCTTTCCCAGATTATTAATGTATGAACTCGGTGTGTATCCTAGACAAGGGGTCGGCAACCTTTTGTTGACAATGTGCCGACTTAGGGTTTTAAAATCATTCAGTGTGCCAACAGCATAGGTATTTTTATACAAGTCAAGGTCAATATACCTGTTCTACAATATATTTTATATAGTAATATATAGTATATATAATTTATTATATATTATAATTGAAACAGCTAAATATATTCTTTGCGTAGTTAATGGTTCGGTCTTCGCTGTGTGCCATTGGAAATTGTTTGACGTGTCACATGTGGCACGCGTGCCGTAGGTTGCCGACCCCTATCCTAGAGTTTGGCTTTATCATTTCTTTCCAAAAATTAGGTTGGATTGATTTGATTTTTACGGCTTATCAATGTGTTACAGGTTATTTAAAGCCAGAAATTATTTTTAGATTGTAAGAAATTTAATAAAGATTTAATGAGATAAGTCTTACTAATTAACCCATAGTTAGGAAGAAAAAAAGATGGATTCATACCTTTCCTAAGGGTATTTTCATGTAACTGAACGAGAAGAGCAGCTCAGCTCTCTGTTAACAATTCCGAGCCGTTATCCATTACACCACCCGCATATCCATACTTACAGCAACTGGTATTCACAAGCGGTCACCCATCTAGGTATTGTCCAGGCTTAACTCCGGTGTTTCAAAGTGATGATGCCTAATTAGGTTAGAAATATTATGTTATGACAATCTTCAAATTTCCATGGCAATTTTAATTTTAATAGGGATATTTCCCAGCATTAATATAATCTAAACATGTTTAGGAACCAACTTTCATCTAAACATGTCAGAATACCAGTTATAATCTGAACATGTATCAGCAGTAATTGTGACCTAAATATGTCAGCTCACCAACTGTAATCTAAACAGGTGATTACTTCAGACAATTCGAATATATTCTAGCCACAGTTGTTAGAGAACATGCGCAAAAGAACATTTTCTGCGCAAATTCACGCACACGCATGCGTGCTATATAAGCATGAAGACTGAAGTAAAGAGTGAGATAAAATAGAATAAAAAATAGATAAAATAAAATGAATAAAAGCCATGCTAAGGGGTTCAATCTCAGTACATGGTTTCATTCATTCTTCCTTTCATTATATTCTATGTTATCAAAAACATCATCATATATTGCTTCCTCCATGCTTCACAGTTGGAATGATGTTCTTTGGCTTAAATTCTTATATTCTTCTTCCTCAAAACTTGATGGTATGAATGGAGACCAAATAAGACAATCTTGGTCACATCACACGAAAGAATATGATTGCAGTAGGCGTGTATCTCCTTAGCAAAGTTCACATGTGATTACTTCAAAAAAGTGATACTTTTTTGCTCTTCAAGATTGCAAGATGTCAGTAGAGTGTGTTGGTGACAAGTACAGGTGTAACTGTTGTCCCTAATACTCTTCACCCTACACTTTGAGAGCAATCTTTGGCTGTTTTGCTACCATTCTGACAATTCCACTGTCAGGTCACTGTTGAACTTCATTCTTTTCATTGGTGAACTATTGAATCAACAGTGCATCAATGAAGTTGTAACTCTTTACTGATTGCTCTGTAACCTTTACAATAAAGACTAACAACAGTTTCTCAGAACTTTCTAGAATGTTCCTTTTTGTTTTTATCATTATGTGTTACTTCAATGACAATTAATTGCCAACCGATACATTGTGCTATAATCCCAAGAATGTTGCCTACTACTCAGAATGTTCTCAAATAATCTACATCTGTTCATAACCAACCACCTAGAAATTTACATTCGTCAGCGGTATTACGTCAATCCTTTTAAGAATGGATATTGGATGCATTTTTTACTTAATCTTTTAAAATTTATCTTTCATAATTTTATATAGATTTATTTGTTTAAACCTTTTGCTCATATTTACAATTAAAAATATGAAACGTATATGTGGTTGTATTTTAAAGGTAAATACTTACAATATATATATATATATATATATATATATATATATATATATATATATATATATATATATATATATAGAGAGAGAGAGAGAGAGAGAGAGAGAGAAATAATGTAATAAACTGTTTTTTTCATGCTGTCTATTGAATACTTATTTTTACCAATACATATATTTTAGAATAATTTTTTCTACTTGATAGATTAATTTCTATATATTAAGAAATTATGAAGGAATTGTCCACAGTTTGTGTCAGTTTATTATTCCAAACTTTTGTTAAGAAATGAATTAAGAAATATTAAATAAAATGACATGAACAATTCCATTAATTTATTTGTTTAAACCTTTTGCTCATATTTACAATTAAAAATATGAAATGTATATGTGGTTGTATTTTAAGGTAAATACTTACAATATATATATATATATTGAGGTTGATATGCCGTAAAACAATAAAAACCAAACTATACAATTTTGAAAAAAAGAAATATTTTACCAGCTATACACTTTTTAAAATAATTTTACCATAAATATATTTTTGAAGGAAAAAATATTACCAGCAATATATTTATTAAAAAAATGTAATATTACCAGCTTTGAAAAAAAATATTACCAGCAATAAAAGTCTTGTCGGCATTAAATAACCTATTGATGTTGATATGCCGTTAAATAATACAAACTAAACAAAACTATACATTTTTGAAAAAAAATATTACCAGCAGTACATTTCTGAAAAAATTACCAGCGGTACTTTTTTTGAAAAAAATATTACAAGCGATACATTTTTGAAGAAAAAATATCAGAAATAGATTTTTGAAGGAAAATATATTTACCAGCAATACATTTTTGAACGAAAATAATACCAGCAATAAAAATTGTCGGCATTAAATAACCCATTGGGGTTGATATGCTGTAAAACAAAACAAACCAATCCAATCTGCTGTTGACATTTTTTTGACCAACAGCATGAAAGCTTCACCAATATGATCCAAGCGCTGCACCATCGACGGAAGAAGTGTGTGGATCACAAGAGACTGTATGTTGAAAAATAATCTTCATTTGATCACATTCCATGAGTGTATCTTTGTCAGTCTAAGAAATTTTAAGCCGACCCTAGTAAATATTCCTGGAAAACTTTAAACGTGCGTGAATTCACAACCGATGCGTGTGTTAATAGACAGGGAAGCTTCTCAGATTTCGTTGGTTATCTGTCAAGATATTTTGACACGATAAAAACAGCCGTTATCTTGCAGCCTGGGTCACATGTAGCGTTGTGACTGCCCGTAAAAAAAGCTCAGAGTGTCTGAAATTCACGTGAAGTGTACCATCAGCTGCAGGCCGAGATAGTTGCACCTCTTCCTGGAAAGCAAACATGGCGGTGAAAGACAGATTTTTTTTTACTTATATTGGCTCAGTCAGGAACAAAAAATCGTAACAGAGCGTCAGTAATTAATTAAAAAGTTTGACTTAGTATGGTTCAGGGCTGAACTATTGAGGGACGTACTTACGAAAGGAACTTGTTGCCTATAAATCTACTGTAAAACTGGCTCGTGATATTTGTTCGATTTAGCTAACCAAAAGTATAATCGTGTGGGAGGGTCGAACTCACCGATGATGTAATGGTTTTGTGAGAGTAGGTTTCGAATAAGAACCCCAGTGTATATATATATATATATATATATATATATATATATATATATATATATATATATATATATATATATATACGTTATTTCTACGACTAAATAACAATTGGCAAATTAAAAAAAAATAAATAAATGTTCAAAAAAGTAAAATGTAGTGACTTAATAAAAATGAAAGGAAATACATTTACAAACACTTCGATCTCCATAGATCGATGTATCGATCCATTTTCATCAATTGAATGCACTTCAGTGGACAACCATTCATCCGTTTTTGTATAAACAATAATTTTAAAGAAAATAAAGAAATTGAAAATTGAGATAACTCAAGAATTTTTTTTTCAATTTTTAATCTATTCATACGCTGTGATTCCATTGCGTTATGATCTATCTATCTATCTATCTATCTATCTATCTATCTATCTATCTATCTATCTGCTTTTATCTATCTATCTATCTATCTATCTATCTATCTATCTATCTATCTATCTATCTATCTATCTATCTATCTATCTATCTGACAGAATTGACGTTAACCTGTCGTGACGTTAATTTCTTGCTATTCACCCAGCACTCATTTTTCTGCTTCAAATAACAATGGACTTCATTGAGACAAAAGAACAGTCAATGGCAGCCGTGATGGCGATGGCGATGGCTGTGGCGGGAAATATTCTGTACAAAAGACGGTGAGGTGAATCGATTGGCAATACAAAGAGAAATGGTTAAAAAATTGATATGAAATTGCAGAGGGGCGACGAGGAGGGGGAGGAGGAGAAGAAAAAGAAAAAGAAGAAGAAGAAGAAGAAGAGATAAGAAGAGCTAAGGTAGGAAGAAAATTGGAAGAGAGATAGAGATGAGTGACATGAAAGAATATGAAGGGGAAGATGAATGGAGTGTGTAAGAGACAAGAGAGAGAGAAGGTCTGCCAATGGACAAGATATTAAAAGAAGGGAGGAGGAATGAAAAGATAAGAAAGGAGAATATACAGACAGACAGACAGACAGACAGATAGATAGATAGATAGATAGATAGATAGATAGATAGATAGAGAGAGGAGGTGGTAGATGGAGTAAGAATTGTGAAAAATACTAGAACAATACATTGGAAGAAAGAAAAAAGAAAGAATTGAAAAAGAAAGAAAAACGTGAGTAAAAAATGAAATTATGAAAGAAAAAAGAAAGAAACAATGGAAAACAGAAAACAAGAAAGAAAGAAAGAAAGAAAGAAAGAAAGAAAGAAAGAAAGAAAGAAAGAGAAAAGAGACACAGAAACTAGATAGGATATTAAAAATAACACTAAAAGACAAAAAAGAGAAAAAGAAGCAACGATAAAAAAAGAAGAGAAAAAGAAAGATGGAAATAAAGACGTGCAGAAATGTTGAGAGGATGAAAGAAATAAGAAAGGAAAAATTAGAAAATAGAAAGAAAGAAAGAAAGAAAATAAGATAATAAACAGGAAAAAAACAAGTAAGCAAAAAGAAACAGAAAGAAAGAAAGAAAGAAAGAAAGAAAGAAAGAAAGAAAGAAAGAAAAAGAATGAAAAAATGTATAGCGAGAAAAGAAAATGATTTGTTAAAGGGATGAATGAAAAACAAAAAAAAAAACGAAGGAGAGGAAGGAAAAATTTTCTTGAGGCACCAGAGAAGAAAAATATCGAGAGAGCAAAAATTATTAAAAGCGAAAAGTGCCAGATAGATAGAGAGTGGGAGAGAAACAGAAAGAGAGAGAAAAAAAGAGAGAGATAGAAAGATAGGGGCCGAATGAGAAAAAGAAAGAAAGAGAGAGAGATATAGATAGAGAGAGAGAGAGAGAAAGAGAGAAGACCTGGTCAGTGGGAGGAAGAAACTTTTACTTTTTTAAAAGTGAAAGGAAGAAGAAAGAGAAAGAAAAAGGAAACTTGTGGACAAACGAGAGAGCCAAAAAAGATGAAAGATTTGCTGAAAAAGCAAATGAAGGAGGAGGAGGAAGAGGAAGAGGAGGTGAAGAAGAAGAAGAAGAAGAAGAAGAAGAAGAAGAAGAAGGAGAAGAAGAAGAATTGATGAAGAACAAAAAGAGAAAGTGAATACAAAGCAAAAAATGAAAGAAGATAGAAAATAAATTTTAACAGAGAGAAAGGTAAATAGATCAAAACTAAGATAAATGTATGCAGACTCAGATAGATAGATAGATAGATAGATAGATAGATAATTAACAGAATAAAAGTAATATTATTGAAATAGATGATAGATAGATAGATAGATAGATAGATAGATAGATAGATAGATAGATAGATAGATAGATAGATAATTAACAGAATAAAAGTAATATTATTGCTCTGAAATAGATAGATAGATAGATAGATAGATAGATAGATAGATAGATAGATAGATAGATAGATAGATAGATAATTAACAGAATAAAAGTAATATTATTGCTCTGAAATAGATAGATAGATAGATAGATAGATAGATACATAGATAGATAATTAACAGAATAAAAGTAATATTATTGCTCTGAAATAGATAGATAGATAGATAGATAGATAGATAGATAGATAGATAATTAACAGAATAAAAGTAATATTATTGCTCTGAAATAGATAGATAGATAGATAGATAGATAGATAGATAGATAGATAGATAGATAATTAACAGAATAAAAGTAATATTATTGCTCTGAAATAGATAGATAGATAGATAGATAGATAATTAACAGAATAAAAGTAATATTATTGCTCTGAAATAGATAGATAGATAGATAGATAGATAGATAGATAGATAGATAGATAATTAACAGAATAAAAGTAATATTATTGCTCTGAAATAGATAGATAGATAGATAGATAGATACATAGATAGATAGATAGATAGATAGATAATGATCCGAATAAAAGTAGTATTACTGCACTGAAATAGATAGATGTGAACAAACTTAGATCAATATTAAGTCTGTTAGATTTAAAGGCTGATAAATATGTGGACAAATGTATATATATATATATATATATATATATATATATATATATATATAAAGAGAGGAGAGAGAGAGAGAGGTAGATAGATAAATATAAACATGCATGCCTACCTACACACACAAGCATATATATATATATATATATATATTTATATATATCAGTGTGTGTATAGACGTTTGTGTATATGTATGTAAGGGGAGCGGAAAGTGCTCATAAGAGTAATTCATTGAAGAATGTATGAAATAATAATAATAATAATAATAATAATAATAATGGGAATAAGAAAAAGTAGAAGTAGAAAAAACGAAAGAAGGAAAGAGAGTCGTAGAAACTGCTGCTGAAATTGCGAAAGCAAGAATCTGTAGAAGCAATGTTAACACAAATAAATAAAAAAAAAAGAGATCGAGAAAAACAAAAAGAGAAAAAAAACGTTAAAGACAAAAATGACAATGATAGCAAATTGAGATGTTTAATATAATGAAGACACCTGTCTATTTTCTTTCTTTTTTTTTTTTTGCTTTCTGGCTTCAGCATGAACGCGTAAAAACACCAACATGCGCGTTCAACAAACGACTGGATACCCAGTAAAAAATGAGACGAAACAAGAGGGAATGTATTTAGTACAATCCAATTTAATATATTTGTAATAATCGCCCTGCCCCAACCGTTACCTTAACTTTCCCCTGCTTTTTCCTATTATGTTTTCACTATGTTAGCCTTGATGGTTGCCATGAGGGAACAACTAAACCAAACGTCAATCTAACATTGGTCTTTCGAACAAACAATCAGATTTTCTTTTTCGATGTGCTTTTATGTTCGAAGAGTGACGATATACCTGAAGGAATTATAAACCAAAGAGCTGGATTAACTTGATTTCTATAACGCCTTTATTAATTCCTCATTTTAATTTGAAGGCGACCAAAATCACGCACGCACACACACACATATTATTTCAAACATTATTATAGTGGACATTTCTTCTATATATAAAATTATGTGAATTCCTTTAGTTCGTTTGTCCGTGGATCACACCCTCTAACATAACAATTCATTGATTGATCGGAATCAAAGTACAGTTGGTTTTAATAGGATGCGTAGCTTACTACAATAAATTTTCATTAATTGTTTTGGACAATTTAAAAGTTTTATCATTTAACATACAAAATACTACCTCTATTAAAAAAAAAGCAATTTAAAGATTAAAATAACAAATACTTATTTCATAAAGATTCAATATTGTTTTTGCATATCTTTTCTATTAGATTTTATATATACAAGAATTTAGTTTTCAGTTCGACCTGCGTTTGCTAGAACTATAAACAAATCACAAGGCCAAATGCTTCAAAAAGTTGGAATTTAGCCACCGAAATAAATGTTTACGCATGTCCAGTTGTATGTTACTTGCTCAAGAGTAAGCAATTCTAAGACTGTGTTTCACGCTGTTACAAGGAAAAAATAAATTTTCTTTAAGAATATTGTTTACCATGATGTTCTATAAATTAAATTAAATTAAAGAAATTATTAAACCGCTAAGTAGGGTTTTTTGCCAAAGTATTTTTCCAAACAAATCAGCTTATTCAAATTTCATCGATTGGCTTGCGAAATTGAAAGAGACGTAGTGTTTGTATATCTCGACAAAAAATGTTAGCAATAACTTACAATAATACTACATACTGTGAGAATTTCAACCTGTGTCAGTGTGTTGCAAAAAACGTTATAGTATTTGAAAGAGATGCCCCATTTTAACTTTATATATTAAACTGTGTAATACGTCTATCGACCTTTGTCCTCGAGAAGTCTAAGTAAAGAAAATGCGTCATCCGGCAAGGCTCGAACCTGGGCTCCCTTTTGTAGTAGATACAGTTTCATCCAGTATGCTTTATCGTTCGGCCAGGAAAGACTTCAAAATGGGCGAGCCTCTTTTTACCCTCTTCCCTCTAGACTATTTCATTCTGTTTAATAAATAAATAAAAATGGGCCGTCGACTTCAAATAAGAAGTGACTACTACAAGAAGGTTTGACGTAATAAAAATGGCGGATTAAAAATAACTCCATTACTTCTTTATACATAAATGCATGCATACATAATAATGATTGCCCCATCTTTGCACAAGAAGATCATCTCTTCCAATGGTACTTTTTTTGTCGTTTCCTTTCAGAATTTTACTATTTCCATCATTTTTAACCGAGCTGACTCTCGGCCATGAGCTCCCTTAAATGATTTGTGAGGCCTGCTTCACTTTTATAACCACTCTTACACACGTGGCAAATTTGTCTGTGTTACTTATATAGGAAACTTGCCTGTCCCTGTGTACAATCAGGTGAAGTTTGAATCCTGTAACAGACATACAAACCTTGTCACAAAAAAACTCGCCCCAGTAACCTGCAGGTCTTTCTGGTAGGCTTGCATCCACAGGAGTTTGCACCCGATCTTTGTCGTCTGACCTCACGTGACTGGCTAAGCCAGCCGCCGAAAGGGGGACTTTTCCACAAATATTGTAAGAGTGTTGGGGTCCTAATAGCTCCGGGACGGATTCTAGTTCTCCCATCCCACTTCTTTTGTTGGAATACTGTATTCTATTCTTCTAGAAACCGTTGCAGTGTTCGCATATCAACCTCCTCAAGCCAGATATATGTCCAGCAACAGTTTTCCAGTCTTCAACATTAACCACAGTAATCTTCAGGTTGCATTTAACTCCATCTTTGAAACGTTTTATTGGATTATGAGTAGGTCGCTTACCTTGTATCATCTCACCACAAGAAAGCCTCCATAAGTGTCAGATGAAATTTCTGGTGCATTTGATTACGGAGAAGCAGTTCCTCTAGGTTGGCTATGTTTGCGTGATGAAGGACTTTAGTGTCTGGTGTACAAGACTGCCAGTTATATTGCTTCAAGTCTCTTCTTCGTCTATGAGGAGATTGCCCATCATTCACTGCCACATAAGAAGATGGGTGTCACAAAGAAACCAATCTTTCTTTTTTGTTTCTAGATATATTTCCCTATTTCTTGATACTTTGCTTAGCTTTTATAAGGCATCTTTCTCTATCAAAATTTACCTTCGGATTTCAGCGACGCACTTTCCGTCCTCTTTTAAAACAATTCCCAGATATTTAAATTGTTGTACTTGTTTGATTTTGTTATCTCGAAAATTCAGAAGTTTAAATATCTTAGGAATGATTTAATAGAGGATATAAAATACGAAACTGAAATCCGAAAAGGGATTGCATTAGCAAAAGATGCCTTCCAAAAGCTAAGCAAGATGCCGAGAAACAGAAAAATCTTGTTCGAAAGAAAGAGAAGAAAGTTGGATCGCTATGTGATATCCAGCCTTTTATATGGCAGTGGATGCTGGACAAACTCTCCACAGATGAAGAGAAAACTAGAGTCAAGAGAAGGGTACTGAGAATTCTACATAATCAGAGCGAGTAAGCAACGTGGAAGTTTGAAAGAAAATGGCAACAGAAAACACATACACAGAATTAGAAAAAGACAGCCGCCATTTCTTGAGTCCATAATGAAGAAAGAGAGCTCGTAAAACTAAAATCTCACAGGGCATATATAGGGCAAGAGAGATAAGGAGGAAAGCGAGGAACCTATCTGTCGATCTTGTGTGAAAGGATAGCGGAACAGAAGCTTTAAGAATTGGATAGATACTGTTAAGTGCCACATGGGATATAACGCTTTGGAGAGCGATGATCGACCATATGCGGAAGGAGTGTGGTAGATAGAAGAAGGAGGATAAAATAAGCAAGCTTCATTTTGATTGTAATTCTCACGCTTTCATTTTACGTATGTCTCGTGAACTCAATTCGATCGAATTTTATATTGTTAATTTGAATTTATAACGTATAGAATATAGCTTAGTCACAGTTTCATTTATTTCTCAAGAACGATCAAGGATTGCAAAAGCTTTCAGAAATATATATGTTTTACCAATAAATTATCCGTTGGAATTACAAGTTTTTATTCTTTATAATTCAAGCTTCATTTTGGTTGGTGTATACGTTATACCGAAGAACCTTCACTGAAATCTCTTTCATATAAAATTATACGATATGGGATATAAGGTTTTGGAGAGCGATCATCGCCCGTATCCTGAAGGGGCGTGGTAGACAGAAGAAGAAGAAGAAGAAGAAGAAGAAGAAGAAGAAGAAGAAGAAGCATCGATTTGGTTGTCTGTATAAGTTTTACCCACGAACTCTAACCGAAATCTCTTTCATATAAAATTATACGATTTGAAAGTATCTGTACATATGTATGACAGTATGACAATCATTAGGGTGGGGATATATAATGTTAAAATAATTTTTTTTCGAACTGAATCCTTTATTACCATGGAACACTAGTTAGAAAGAATAACTTGTAAACCATTAGTAGAGTAGTAAGTTCAGTTCTTACTAGGTGACACATATTTGTGGCTTTGTAATTTTTTTGGATTTTGCTGGAGAAACCAGCCAGAAGTTTCCATTTCCATGGCAATGATAGAAGTATATGAATATGCTTCGTCTCAAAGGTTATATTCATTAATTAATTTTGTAATTATGAACTTTATTTACAAAAGAAGTCAAAATTTATTGAAACAAAATAAATTTAAATTTATTTAATAATTAATTATTTTATAAATTTTATTAATTATTTTATAAATTTATTTAATCTACGAGTGTAATTTTTCTTGTTCCGCTGACCATGTCTCGTTTAGTTCTTTACTGCTCAGTTATTGCTCATTCTGTTTCAGTCAAAGTACTCTGCCGGACTCGGAGAAAAAAGTTTGAACAAAGTAAATATAAACAAAAATTAAATAAAACAAAAAGTTAAAATTGTGTTCCGATCTCCCAATTAAAATAATCAAAGACTGTGATATAAATAATAATAATAATAATAATAATAATAATAATAATAATAATAATAATAATAATAATAAAATACGCTTAACGAAAAAGGAATTAAAAAGCGAAATAGTTCGCTCGGGGCGGCAACAGACGATTTTGAAATCCTCGGAAATATCCTTCTTACGAATAATACACATTTTTCAGTGGAAGCAATATTATTTGTCCTCATCTGGCGTCTTGGCTTCAGTCACCTTCCCACTGCCGTAAGATTGCCTCTCTGTGCCTTTTCTAGAAAATACTTTCATGGTAATTGTTCGGATGAAATCTTCGCTATGGTACCTAGAGTTTTTTAAACAAATTAAGCGTAGGCTTGCGTAGAGATTTCATCAGTTTACAGTTGAACTGGTTTGGTTTGCTTCATTTTGTTTTACGGCATATCAACCTCAATGGGTTATTTAATGCTAACAATATTTTTATTGCTGGTAATATTTTTTTTTATCTATCTATCTATCTATCTATCTATCTATCTATCTATCTATCTTTTTTTTATTTTTCTTTCTATTTTTTATCTATCTATCTATCTATTCTATCTATCTTTTTTTATTTTTCTTTCTATTTTTTTATCTATCTATCTATCTATCTATCTATCTATCTATCTATCTTTTTTATTTTTCTTTCCTTTTTTATCTATCTATCTATCTATCTATCTATCTATCTATCTATCTATCTCAGTATATATTGGTTTGCTTCCTTTTGTTTTACGGCATATCAACCTCAATGGGTTATTTAATGCTAACAATATTTTTATTGTTGGTAGTATTTTTTTTTATTCATCTATTCATCTATCTATCTATCCATCTATCTATCTATCTATTTTTTTTATTTTCTTTCTATTTTTTATCTATCTATTCATCTATCTATCTATCTATCATCTATCTATCTATCTATCTATCTATCTTTTTTATATTTCTTTCTATTTTTATCTATCTATCTATATCTATCTTTGTTATTTTTCTTTCTTATTTTTTATCTATCTATCTATCTATCTATCTATCTATCTATCTATCTTTTTCATTTTTCTTTCTATTTTTTATCTATCTATCTATCTATCTATCTATCTATCTATCTATCTATCTCAGTATATATTGGTTTGCCTCCTTTTGTTTTATGGCATATCAACCTCAATGGGTTATTTAATGCCAACAATATTTTTATTACTGGTAATATTTTTTTTATCTATCTATCTATCTATCTATCTATCTATCTATCTATCTATCTATCTATCTATCTCAGTATATATTGGTTTGGTTTGTTTTGTTTTACGGTATATCACCCTCATGGGTTATTTAATGCCAACAATATTTTTATTGCTGGTAATATTTTTCTATAAATTATTTCTGGTAATAATTTTCCTAAAAATGTATTGCTGGTAATAATTTTTTACACAAATGTATTGCTAGTATTAAAATCTATTTTTTAAACGATTTGACTCCAGTTTGGTCGTTAAATATTTGCCCATATCTGGGACCCTAGCAGGTGCTACCAACTCGGGTCACGGTGGCTCCCCGCTTCTCAAAACCTGCCAATCAGAGGTCTTGCTGTTGGATGTAGTTTATCGTCAAACCCCGGACGTCAGTTGAGCTTGCTAGATGTAACCGTAAATTCTGTGCTATCAGTTTCTTTTCTCGCACTTCTCGTATGTGGGACCCCCTTCCCGCTCTATGCTTTCCAGCCAACGTTAATCTGCAAATATTTAAATGCAAATTCAATCGCTATTTACTGTACTCCACATTACGCTTTCCTCTTCCAGCTCGCTATTAATATTTATTTTTCTAATTATTCTACACTTTGTGATCCCTTGTCTTAATGGATTTACTGCTTTGCATGGGATGATACCGATTTAAAAAAAATGATCTCGTTAGAAACAAAGAAAAGTGAACTTAACGTTTTATGTAATATCGGTCCTCCAATATGGAAGTCACTGTTGGTCAGTTTCACTGGCGTCCGACAGAGGAAAGCAGCGTATAACAATAAGAACGAGCTTGTGTAAATGGTTGGTAGAACAGAGATTCGGCGACACGACACAGTAAACAAAGTTTTATCTAGATTTTTGGAGGGGTACTTATAAACAAGCAAAAAAAAAAAATAGTTACAATCCTGTCATATCAAAATCAAGCAAGTAAAATAATTTAAATATTTATGAATTCATTTTTTTTTAAAATTGTGACATTGAAATAAAATCTAAAGAATAAGTAGCAATATTATTAATCCTAACCTGGCATCTCGGCTTCAGTCACATTCCCACCACTGTAAACTTGCTTCTGTCTGCCTTTTCTATAAATACTTTCATCGTCATTGTTCGGGTGACCTCTTTGCTGTAGGACCTGGGTTTTATGAATTTAAACCCAGTACTAAACTGCCGACGAGATCTCATCAATTTACAGTCAAGATGGCTAGTTGCAACCTTAAGTTCTATGCTAAGTTTCTTTCCTCAAACTTTTCGTTTAGGGAACTTTCTTCCAGTTCCATGCTTTCCAGTCAACTTTAATCCTTTAAAATTGAAATGCAATGTCAATCGCTATCTACTGTCCTCCTGATTACAATTCTATTGTTCTCTCTCCTTAAAAATGTTTCTGCTTTCTAATTCATCTACAACCAGTAACCGCTTGTGTCCTAATGGTTTTACTACATTGCTTTTGAGTTTTAAAAATAATTTTATATTAGACGAGCAGCATGGCCCGGCGTTGCCCGTGCTTGATTCAAAAATCGTACGATTCATACAGCAATCGCTATCACTTGACTTAAAATATTTTTGCCCTTCCTTGCCGTGCTGATGTTGCTACATGCCTTACTTCTTGCCTATCTCACACTGTGATTTTTCTAAGCTCTATACTAAACATTAAATCTGTTACGAAAAAAGAACCAAACAAAATGAACACAAAATGATCAGCTTTAAAAAAGGACTCGTAAATGGAAAAACCGAATGAAAAAAGAATGTTAACAACAAACATTTTTTCACACCCAACACAGTTCTGCGGAATCAGAATCAATGTTGAGTTTAACGCGAATGAGCCAATTGGAGTAAAGTGCCATGCAGATTTAAATTTTTCCCACTTGTGACGAATGCAGCTATCGATTTTTTGCATGCTAGCATGCTAGTTAACATTCGTGTCAGTCAGCTGTTGGCTCCTCACGCTGGCCAATAGAATCTTCCTGCCTATTCGTGGCAGCCAGCTATAGGCTCACCTGGCCAGTATAAAATGGCCGCAAACTACATGAAAAATTGCCGTAGAATCATGAAAAATCGATTATTTCCACTATCGATGGAGTTAAAAATACAAAGTCGGTCATGGCCTTCCCTGGCTAAGTTGGAGCATGTGAATGTAAATTTTGGTGCAAATCTGTCGAAAATTGCGGCCGTGCATTCAGTTACACACACACACACACACACACACACACACACACACACACACACACACACACACACACACACACACACACACATCCTGCCTTTTATAGATAGAGATTAGATCATATTGAACAATGCCTTACCAATTTTCATGTCAATATCTTTAACGATCGTTAAAAATGGTGAAAAGGCGAACTGAACAATATTTTTTATCAAATACAAGTCCGAGTGTCACTCAAGGTAGAGGATTCTATTCTATGAGGTATGTGATACGAATGTGAGAAGAATTAAAAACAAGTGAACATTATAAAGATAAGGAGGATAGATAATGATTGACACTTAGCTTGAAGATCTAGCGTTCAGGCAAGCACATACGCGGGAGTCTCAAAACGTAACGTTTCTCGCAGTAAAGATGTTTCCGTTGACCTTTTCCTTACAGGTGAAATGTTATATATAAAGTACAGTGTATGAGCGTGTGTTTGTGCTTGTATGTGTTCAACCCCTCCCACTGGTCCGATTTCGATGATTCGTAGCTCATTCAAAAGCCCTAGAAAAGTTAGGCATAGGGAACGATTTTCGTTGAGCTCAAATTCAGCCTTGCCAAATTATGCAAGGTTAAAAATATATATTAATATATTATCGTTTCTTTCATGGTTCAAGGGGAGTAACTCTTATTTTCCTTTTGTATCCAAAATTGCAGTGCACGTTTTATTATAAACTAACTTAAGGGCCGCTCTATCGGGTGGCGTTTAAGCTAGCTCCCGTGGAGGACTCTTGGTTTGGCCATCATCACAATAGCTAGGGAGGAGGAGGTGCGATAGGCAGAAGAAACCAAAATTGATCGCTGCATTTAAGTATTGAATTAATGTTAAATCTTACCTTTTAAAATTTCAATGAAAATTCTTCTTCTGTCAATTTAAAAACAATTTGATGTACGTAGATCCTTATTTTCCGTACAAACAATTATTTTTATTTCATGGCTGACAGAACAGGGGACAGTTTATAATATAAAATTAATATAGTGTAAAGATGGGAAAATAGAAATTAGAATTAGTTTCAAAATTCAACATTTGAAGAGTTAGAGAAACATAATAGTTAATTAAGTAAAACCTATATTATGGAATCTATATAAAAAAATAGGGGAATCTGGAGCACACACTTAACCAATGAATATTTAGGGTTAAAATGACCAAACTCTATTTTACAATAATTTATACGGTGTTTACTCATTCCCCCACGAGAATGAGATGTGACACAAGGTCGGATTAATGTGGGGACCCGAGCGCGTACACCCGGGTAGGGACAAAATTTCCCCTCAGCCCCGGCAACCGTCGGTTGCGCTGGCCTCGGTGCGAGCACCAATCCTCCCCTCTTGTGCAATGGGAGTGCGCAGCTTCGGGCAGCTGCTTCCCAGGGCTGGGCACCTGTCAGTATAATTTTCAGTATAATTTCCCTCAGTTGCGACTCTGTCCCTTGATGGAGTCGCCCCTAAGCAACTGAGAGATGATAAATAATGTGCATAAATTACTTATAGCAATTTACGCACGTAATATATGCCTCATAATTTATACTCTAAAAGATCAATATCTGTATCATATATTATTTACTTCTAGGTGATATCAAGCTTCAGGTTTAATTAATTTGCATACTGATTTTAAAAACAGTATATTTCATTAATTAACTATCCTTCATTACTGTTCATTTATTCGAGGTTTGTTTTGATTTTCATATCAAAAATAGTTATGTTTAGGAATATCGTCTTATATAGTGCAGAAAAGTGTTTGAAATTTGCATATTACTTGGCGATCAACAAGTTGGCATCTATTTGTAAAACTTTCCTTAACAAACCAATTTATGAATGAAATGTTCATTTAAAATTTGTGTTTCAAATAATTTCAAGAAGTGAATATATCTTACCTTGCGAAGCGATGGCGAGCGGGCGAAGCCTGCTTGTACGGAATAAATGTGGCTGATTCGACTCCGTGGACACAACATGGTGTGCTCACGCTACAAAGAGCTAATTGTTTTTTTTTACGGCTTATCAACCTTTTGCAGGTTGTTTAAAGCCAGAAAATAGTTTTAGAATGTATGAATTTTTTATGGAGAGAGGAATGATTTACTGATACCAGTCCTACTAATTAATCCATAGCTGGGGGAAAGGAGGTGAATTCATACCTTTCCCAATTATATTTGTAATTGTAACGAAGCCGACTGGGATTGGAAATCGGAGAGAGAGACAGACAGACAGACAGACAGACAGACAGACAGAGAGAGAAAGAGAGACAGAGAGAGAGAGAGAAAGAGAGATTTAAAAATAAAAACTAGTGAAGAAAAGATTGAAACTTTAGATAAATTTAAACCTTGTTTAGCTATTAAATATCCGTGTCCAAAGTGATTAAAGCGCCGTCCATTTGAGACGAGCTACGTGATACGCATTCAACTCACTTACTATAGCCAGAAGACATTAGTACGAGAACGTTGAGACCAAAACCAATTAAAAGGTGACGACAACTCGTCAAAAATTAATGAATGCTTGATTAAGGCCTTATTAAATATTTATTAAAATGCTATATGCCTCAGGATAATGGGGAAAATGAATTTTTTTTTAATAGTCTACGTCTTAGTGAGATATTTACCGTCTTGTGTCGTGTTTTTATTCTGAGATAAGCGCTTTGTCCGGAACAACTATTATAAATATCATAATAACAGATTGGGTGGTGTTATTATACCTTTGTCAAAAAAAAAAAAAAAAAAAGAAAAAGAAAAAAAAAAGAAAAGGGATCCATACTTGATACGTCTAAAAAGATACTCTCCTGTGGGTTACGCAGTTGGCAGTGAAACGCTATTAAATGATCCAGTGTACGGTGTGGCCATTATATTCCCAATCACCGAAAGGGCAAATCCTTCACATCCCTTGGATGTTTTTTTATTTCTTGTCTTCAAAACATCGCATCACTTAAATATATGAAACCTCTAATGCACAGATCTGGTTTCAGTTCACTGAGATACCGTGAGAAAGAAGGAAAGAAAGAAAGAAAGAAAGAAAAGATAGAAAGAAAGAAAGAAAGAAAGAAAAGATAGAAAGAAAGAAAGAAAAGATAGAAAGAAAGAAAAGGAAAGAAGGAGAAAGAAACATTGGGGAAGAGAGGAAAAGCAAGAGAAAAAGAAAAGAATAGTGTCAAACAGATCGAGACGATGGAGAAGAAGGGTAGAAAGAAAGCAACGTAAGGAGAAAGTAACAAAGAAAGAAAGGAGCAGTGAAGAAAAAAGCGAGAATGAAAAAGATGGAAAGAAATTGAGGAAAGATCAAAAGAGAAAGAGACAGAGAGAGCTAAAGAGAAAGAATGAGAAAAATTGAAAGTAAATAGAAGACGGAAGATCAAATAATAGAAAGGAAAAAAGAAAAGGAAAA